TAAGTATGAATGCATGGTTTAGGGTCTAGTCAAGCTGCAGCTAGACCGACGTCAAGCAAGGTTTACCGGAAAGCTGCTTGGACTTTGCCTTTGAAGTTTGTCTAGCATCTCATAGTAACCCTAAACCCTATAAGCCCTAAACAGTAGTTTCCATTGTATGTTCCATTATCCAAATGTAACCCTAATACTGCCCCAATGGGTACATATATCTCCCCTAAACCCTAAACCTTGCATCTCAGGTATTCCTGATCGGAGATGCAGGAACCCCATCCGGTGCGCCAGCTCAGTCACTTTAAGCTGCTGTTGTTCACGGCCTCTGGTCTCGCCAGCGTCAGGGCTTAGGGTTTAGGGTTTTGCAACCGTAAGGTTAAAACTAATACTAACAGATGGCTTCCCTGAAGGTAGTCCCCGACATTCATAAGTAGACATTGCTTGTCCTGTTGACGCACGTTCCTCAAACGCTGCAAACGGATGCTACCAGGTAGTTCCCGTAAACGGGGCACCCCAACATAGAACCCCCAGATGCTATAATGGGAAACCCCCACCAGATTTGTTGAACTCAGCTTGCAGTGGCTTCTCCATTTGATTCTCCATTATTGCGATTCTCATCCTTAGAACCCAATCCATCGCCGCTCCAGGTTCAGCCTGAGGATTTAGTGTGTAGGGTTTAGGGTTCAGGGTGTAGGGTTTAGGGTTTAGGGTGTAGGGTTTAGGGTGTAGGGTTTAGGGTTCTGTTAGAGGTGTTGGCTTCAGCGTGGTCGGCCCGACGACATCCGCACCACGTCTCCGCACTCGGCATGGCCGAAGGCCATACGCAGACCTTTCATAGGGACCCAGAGATACACGAGGTTGATTTTGCAGGGAAGCTTTGGAGTTCTTACTACCTGGCAATTCTACAAAGGGCTTTTCTGAAGAAGCCCAGGAACAGTTTCAACAGAAATTAGGTATTACCGCTGCTCATTGGCAGACGTAAGACTTGGTACGACTCGAACTGCAAGAAGAGGGGTAGATCTGGTTCTATGGTGGACCAGGTAACAAGAAGTGGAAAAGGGGGGGAGCAATACCAAAACTCTAGCTTCAAGGACAAAGCAGCATAGCAGCACAAAGCACAAGTAGTAAAGGAAAGCAGAGCATAGGTTAGTCCTCTTATGTATATGGCATGTATGCAAGCGCCTTCGTTTATTACCTTGAAAACTCCCTTCAGATGGTTTAGGGTGTGGGGTTCAGGGTCAGGAGTGACGTTTGGCCTCTGATGCTTAGAAGCTGCGATGTAGCCCTGCGCACAGGCAGGATAGCCTCGGTTAGTTCGGACAAATGCTTTTGTGAGTCTCGGACCGGCAGTGATCAGGAACATGTGAAAGTTCCAAGTGTGACCAGAATGAACGCACCCGAAACCCTGTGCAGGCATGCATCTGATGTTCGGAAACAGACGCCCAGAAAGATAATGCCTCTTCCAGAATGCTGGTTCTGAACCAAAGCTGCAAGCTACGCATGCTCAGAAGCAAACCTCTTGGAAACCCTGGCTTCTTTAGCTGCTTGAATTGAGCTGTGTCATCTGAATCTTGCTAGCAGGAGCTGCGCAGCTCCGGCACAGGCATGAGGGGCAATCTTGTGATGGACCGTGTGTTTCGGCATGTTTCCAGGTTAACAGGTGTTTTTCACGCAGACCCATACTGTAAACAGGTGAACTACAAGTCGCTACAAATTTCTAACAGCAACTGCATGTGAGTACTTAGAAAAGTACTTGTCATGTAGTTAATAACCATGAACTAGAAGGTTTTTTGTATCCTACATGCTTAGTCACTCCGTCGCCGAGCTGTATCCAGTCTCCTCTTCAAAAGTCAGCATGCTTTCTTACTCCCAAGTTCCGCACCCATTGTTGGAAGAAAATATTCTTGCATCACATGCAACACGGGCCAAATACCCTAGACCTAAACCCTGTCATGATGGGGAAGGGTGCCAGAGGATGATGGCTTCTGACTTAACAGAATCTGTAAAGGGCATTGAAAGGTGAATTAAGGCTTATCTGAATCTACGCTCCACATCCACTTTGACCCCCTTCAGTTTTCCTTGCAGCTGTCAAACCTAAGGTCTCTCTTTTGGGCCCCATAATAAAAAGTATTCTTGCGGGTGCTCCAAAGTAGGGATCTCAACTTTTACGACCTCCCAGCCCGCAACCCGAAGCCTCCGCCCTGCAGCCCTAAACCCTACACACCTGCACTAGATACCCCACCCCGATTGTACCATTTTTCCCATTCTATTTTGGGGTCTCCTTATTAAAGCTGAACATGAGGAAAAGGGGTACTCTTATTCTTTGGGGGTTATTGGGGAACCTAGTTCGGCAGGTAATCAAGGCGGAAGGAAACGGAATCGGCAGTGCCATCCGGGGCTTCCTCAGGCACAAGCCTACCCTTACAAGGGGATAGGGCTGTGATTGTTATAGGGATCCTAGTAATAAGGCCCTCGGGAGGACGAGGTTTATTAGTTAGGGGTCTACATTAGGGTTTGGTTTGGGGGTTTAGGCTGTGGGGTTCAGGTTGCAATGTTTGTGCGGGTCGCAGCGGTGCTGGAATGGGGGTTTCTCTCATGATGGTCCTCTTCAGGGGTTGTAGAGGGACTCAATGGAGGAAGCAGGGATAAATCAATCTTGCTTGAAGATGTGGGTCCTGTCCTGTCCTTAATCCCCTCCCCTTAAAATTAACCCCCACCCCCCTACTATAAATTTTCCCATTATGCGGCAGGTTATAATTCATAATATATTGGGAGTATTTATATATTAGGGAGTGAGGGGTGTAATAATTAGGGGGAGTCCAGGAGAGGATTATGCGTGTTCAACATCCGAGCTGCTTTCGGGGGGTACAAAAGAAGGCCTTGCGGCCTCGAAGCTCACAATATCGTCCTGCGTGGTACAGGGCAGAATGTAGAAGCCTAAATAGGGTTTCCCAAAATTGGGGGTACCTTTCCGGGGGTCCCCATAACAAGGATTATAGGATATTGGGGTCTGTCGTGGGGTCCCCTATTTAAGGAAACTTCCACATAATCACCAATGTTGTGGGCCTAGATTCCCTAGATAGTTACAGTATAAGTACCTCCAACAGACCTCTTGATTATGTTGGTACTTAGTTAGGCCCCCGTATTACGTAAGTATGATTCTCACTGTAAGCCCCCTACTTGAAGGCCCACACTTACAACGCAACTATAGCCGTTTTAGTTGACTTACCGGGCTTCCTATTGCATTATACATGTTTGAGTACCCCTGTAAGTAACAGTTATTCATGGGCTTCCAAGGAAGGCATCTGATAATGACGACCCTAAACCCCTAAACCCCTAAACTTTCGCAGGCGCGCCCTGGCACTTTTAAGCATGCTCACTTGGTGGGGACGCTCCACTACCAAGGCCATCGCTTGGGGTAAGGCCTTTAGGGTTTGGAGGGTATCTGGGCAGTTCCCAGTGTTAAGGGTTGAGGGTTCGGGTTTCAGGGCTGGGGGTTTCCCAAAATTTGGAGCATTTTTTGGGGGGCCCCCAATAAGAAGGACTATAGTATTTTGGGGGTTCTTTGGGGTCCCTTTTTTGGGAAACCACCATATCTGTATACGAGACCAAACACAGGGGTCCGTTATGTGCGTATCGGGGGCTATTTAGGGGCCCCTGTGCATGGAACCCCCATATGTATCCAGCAGTCTGCGCTGTTGGATTGTACAGAGAGTGCTCATTCTTGTTGGGGGAAGTTGTCTTGTTACGAACGGGCGAAATTCTTGACAACTTCACCCTACTAGCAACGCCCCCCCCCCTCCCTCTCCCCCAAATTTCTCATATATATATATATATGCATATATTTTCCTAAGGCATGGCAGTTGTTGGTGATCAGTAGGGTTGGGACATTCCACATATCCCCTCTACGTCAAACCCCATTGGGTCTTTCACGTGAGTCGCTATCATTCGACCAAGCCTCAACCAGAATCGCTTCATCATCGCTATATACCCCGATATATAGACCCAGCTACCATTTCATATGACATGTTCTTTTGCATCCCATTCTCCGTTACAAATTACAAGCAATCGACATGTTACAACCCTGAGCCCTGCACCATGCTCCACAGACTTACAGTTTTGGTTTTTAGCGTTTAGGGTTTATGCTCCGAAGACTTACAGCTTTGGGTTTTAGGGTCTAGGGTTTGGGCTTTAGGCTTTAGGGTCTATCCTGCCCAGGCGCTCAAGGCAGCCCCCATTGAGTCCAACGATAACGATTGGGAGCCTGAGATCTCTGCACCGGCTTCTGAGTGGCACTTGTGCTGGTTATGATGACGATGATGACGATGATGATGATGATGATGATACTTGTTACTAGTATTGTTATTCTTTGATATTACTGTTTTTACAGTGTTACTATTCATGTGCTGTTTTTATATGTCTGTTCTTATTTCCTAGTAGTACTGCTTCTGCTACCGCTACTCTCTTAACGGCTTTGCTAGGTGCTATTGGTGCTTGTCTGACAGATGCTCAGTACGTAGCAAGATCAATAAGTAGGCAATGTGGGAATACTCTACAGGGACAAGTATCATGCGTGTTGCAAATACTAGCCCTCCAAAACCATAGTAAAATCACGATATACCCATATTCTATCTACTTAGGGGAGGCTATCGATGCGGCTTGAGTCTTCTTTCGCTGCAGAGCCAAAAACATGTGTTCGGACTCTACGACCAGAGGGCGCATGATTTGCAAAGCCTAGCAGATGCTCGAGTTTCACACAAGTTCCCAGTTGAAACGGGTGGGTTCGCAAACATGTGAGTTAATCTCGATTTGCCTGTAGCACGGACGAATGTTTTGGAGGTCTACGCAGGGACCCTAATCTGGGTTGCTGTTAAGGAACTTAATTTAAGTTACTATATTGGGGGAACCATAATAATTACTATATATACCCATTATGGTAACTTAATTTGAGTTCCTTAACAGCAACCCAGTAATGTCAAGAGCCAGCCTCCTCCTGCCTCTCCAGCAAGGTTGCCACACGCAGCGTTCCAGCCCCGTTTCAAGTGGCCACCATGCGGGCCGTGGAGCTTGGAGAGAAGGTTGAACAAGAGGTGGAGGTTATCAATGTTGAGGATACCAAGTTCAGCGCGACTGCATGCGAGGAGGCCACTACCAAGCTTGCAGACCCAGTCGTTCCAGGCATGTCCAAGGCAAACTTGGTAGTGAATGTGGAGACAGTTCCAGGTAAAGCACAGACTCCGCATGCAGATGCCAAGATGCAACAGTCCAACCAAGAAGTGCTCGAAGATTTGTGTGGCGACGGCTGGAGCTGCTCGCCAATTGATGTAGAGAAAGACTTGTTCGAGATCAAACTCCCAGCGGTGAGATACCAACTACCGATGGGTGTGGTCTCCATTCCTTCGCCGCTGTTCCACGCACAGGTGCGGCACTTAGGTGACATGTTTAGGAGGAAGTTTACCCCTGTAGCATACCCTAAATTGCAGTTCCCATGTTCTTTTCCATGATTCCTATGCTGGCGCCGGCCTCAAGCCCAGAACTGCCAACCGGCGAACCGCTTGTCTTGTTCTTTGCGAGTTTAGGGTTCAGGGCATGTCGCGCCGAGGTGCGCAACTCGAATGAGGTGTCTGACAACTACAGCGAGAGGTTAGTGGCAGACATCGTGCTACAGAACGGTGACAAGATGCTTTGCGTCGAGCAGCTCGGAACGCATTCCTTATCTAGCCCTAAGGGTCCAAGGACTCAAATAGTGTGGATTTAGGAATCTGAATGGTATCTGGGCCATGGAACCCTCATATTTGGGTCCTTGCACCCTTAGGGTAGGTTCAAATGCAAATGGCTTACCCTAACGTTCCGCTCCTACGAACCTCAGCCTGAAGGTGCGGAGATCTCAGAAATGTGCAAACAGAGTTGATGCAGGAGATCTCACGTGTGCCAGGGAGCTTCTCCCATACTTGAAGTGGTGGTTTGTTTTTTTGGGGAAGCTGCGCGTATAATGGGATAATGGCAAAAAAGGAAAGTATTTAGGGCTTAAGGTCAAGGCTTGAGGCTTAGGGTTTAGGGCTTGTGCAAAGCAGCCAGCAGCGCACATACTGACGAGTTCTCGTGCGGGACACGCAGGGTCTACTTCCCCCAAAGCTTTGAACTAGGATCCCTTATCATTGTGGACCCCTTCTGGAGATCCTATGTGCGAAGAAATTCATTTGTAAGGGGGAGGGGAGAGTGGATCCTTATAGTAGTCGCTATATAGCCCATTATAGTAGTTTCCATTATCTTGTCCATTCCTTCATTCCCACCCTAAACCCCAAACCCTATATAACCCATTCTAGTAGTTTCCATTTTCTTTTCCATTCCCTCATTCCCAGCTAACCAAGGGCTACATACCCCCAGCTTCCATTTCATTATCCATTTTCTTTTCCGTTTGATTCTCCATCATTGGAGGGGTAACCCTAGACCCTAAACCCTAAACCCTAACCCTAAACCCTAAACCCTTTGAGGACCATCTTAACTCAGGCTGGGATTTCCCTTCTCGAGCAAATTCACGATCTCGGCAGCTGGCCTGGCACTCAGCTGCCCAGCAACTTGGGGGAGGGCATGACTTAACATGAGCTCTAATCTACACTCCTTAAACGGGTTATATAGGGGAGTATTATAGGGCTTGAGGGGGATACCAGGAGTTTAAACTATAGCTCATGTGACAACGAGACTGCAAAGCCACTGTGTTGACAGTACACCGCTGATTCCTCAGAGTTTGGATTTCTGCTTTTAATCACTGAAGTTTTACTGGAGTGATTGGAGGAAATCTTGCGGCCTCTGATACCTGTAGCTCATGCTCCAAGAGTTGCGGTATTTGGGGGGGGGGGTCTGGGCGGTGCAGGACTGTCCATCCAGAGCGAGCAGTTCAGACAGTAATAACATATTCACAATTGCAAAGGCCATGGCAATTCATGCAGACTGTTAAGGGTTTAGGGCCTTGGCTCTAGGGTTTACGGAGTTTACAACAAATCCTGCAATCGCTCTTGAATGCCTGAACGCCCAATATTTCCTGGGCCGCTGGGTGCCGCAAACCTCCAACCAACATCAGTAGCATTTGAGCTATAGTCTAAACTCTTTCAAGCGGGTTATACAGTGGAGTATTATAAGGTTTATTTGAGGGGGATACTGGGCGTTTAGGCTATAGTTCATTAGGGTTTAGGGCTTAGGGTTTAGTCAGGGCGTGGGATTTGGGGTTTGGGGTTTTAGGGTTCTCAAAAATAATGTCAGGGTATCTTTTTGGGAGCCGCTGTGAGAAGGATGAGAATATGCGTAGGGGTCTTACATTGGGGCCCCCAATTCATGGAAACCTGGGTTATTCTCAACATTATGGGCGCAATTTTGGTCTTATATTAAAATATATACATACATATATTACGAGGCCTCATATTTAGGGGTACCAAAGCGGGACCCCAATTTAGAGAACCACCCCAAACCCTAAACTTTTTAGGCCCAAAGCCCTAAACCCTCAGCCCTAAACCCTAAGCCCCAAAACCCTAAACCCTAAACCCTACCCATATGGTTCGGTAGGCTGGGCGCGCTGCCGAGTGGGACGTGAGCCTGGCTCAGTGATCTGCAAGGCCAGGGAGTGTCCTTCGAGTTGGCAAGAATAATGAGGATCTAGACGCTTTTGGGCTTAGGGTTTCGGGTTTGGGATTTAGGGTTTAGGGTTGAGGGTTTCAGGTTTGGGGTTTAGGGTTGGGTTTCCCACAGTTACGGGTACCTTTTTGAGGGGTCCCTATAATCAGGATTCTAGTAGATTCGGGTCTACATTGGGTTCCCCCTGTTTCCTGAAACTACCATTTCTCAGTGCTGTCTAAGGACAGTGGAGTAGGGTTTGAGATGTAGGGTTTAGGGTGTAGGAATGTAGTCGAAATCATGGCCCCTTGTTGAGGTACCCTGAATGTTAGTGGCATTCCACATGGGACTCAACAGGGGATCATGATTTAGACAACAACCCTACATGGGTATATAGTGGTATATCAGTATATTGACTCTGAGAGTCTCAGCATTGTGAACTCTTTTTAAGGGTGCCTGGCTCACAGTACTGTAGTGATTTCATGACATCTCACCCTAATCCCCAAACGCACCACGTTTTCTACCCAAATGACATGGGCTTGTACGTCTCGGAAAAAACACCTCCATTACGTTCACCTGTTGTTATGGCAGAATACTGATCGCAGATGACAATACAACAGGTCGGCATCATCTCTGCACAGAGTCTCATGCGAGTACGTGCATTCACAAGGACTGAGTAGACATGCTATTGCTGTATGCTGTATGCGGACCTTGCAGCTGACATGCTGATACATGCTACGCCGCTACAGACCCGAAGCATGATATCCTAAGCCTGAAGCCCTGACCCAAGCCCCTCATCCGGTAGCTTACCAAAAATTGGGGGCCCCAATATACCAATAAAGGTTCTAGGTATCCCCATGAAGGGACCCCTATTTGTTGAAAAAGAAAATGGAAACGATCATAGTATATTAGTGTTATGTAGGGATAATGGAAAAGAGAATGGAAACTACTATAGTATATTGGGGTTTTAATTTCTCTTTGGATTGGACTTTTGTCGTTCAAGCACAGCCCTGCGTATGGCCCCGCCCTAGACCAGATGCCGCCCATAGCGTTCGCAGCATATCAATGGTACGTCGAATGTCCATACCTGGACCCCCAGCGGTTTAGGGTTTAGCCAATGTATGCAGAATATTGACATTTTTGACCGTCTTCAGGACTTTGGGCCATTTGTTTTCCTACTTTGGAGGTCCAGGTAGCAATCAAATCCTGAGCCCTAAAACGTGAGCAGCGCAGGCTGAAGTGGAGATGGGCCTTCAGGTGCCCAAGGCACCACGCGGTTTAGGACAAGCTTCTTATCTCTCTGCACAGGTACTCTTTGCACATGCTGCGCTTATGGGAGCAAGGGGTTCCCAAATGAGCAGTTTTTTCGCTGAGGTATTTGTCAATGGGTAGTCGTAGGTGTCTGAGTGGGTGGGAAGATCATGGATAGTTCTTTGGGTAGGGGTTCAGGCCACAACTCCAGTCCAGACTTCAGCGAAGCTCTTCACAGGCAAGTGTAAGGAACGGGCCTTTCTGAAGTCTCAAGTTCTTGTCCCTGTTCACTGCTCATACTGTCCTTGCCGCGTCTTCCAGACCCCGGGACACTCAAGGTTGTGCCTACTTTGTTGGCCCGTCCTTGAGCTAAAAGGCCCACCATTTTCAGACGTCCATGTCGTAAATTATGACAGCTTTCATCCGAGAGCTGTCCGATCGCCCCAAACCTACAGAATCCCCAAACCTATAGAATCCCAAGTGCAGATCCGATGCACATTATCCGTTCCACTCGAATAGGTCTCAAATCTTATTAGTCATTAATCGCGAGCACGCCCCTGTAGAACCCCCTTTCCACTTGATATTCAAACTTATGTTCCGTTAGACTAGATATCCCCACATAGCCCTGCATATCTGGGACATGTCCCTATGTCACCCTGTATAATCCCCCTTACCCCCTACATGGTAGTTTCCCCCCAAAAAAACCCCAAGTTCGACACCCAACCTCTGTAATCCTTATTACAGGGACCCCAAAAGAAGTACCCCTGATTTTCGGAAACCCTAAACCCTATACATCCCCACATACCTGTGTATAAGCCCAAATACTGTTTCCCTTATGACAGGGACCCCAAAAAAGGTACTCCTCCTTGTAGGAAACCCTATCCCCTAATTCCCTAAACCCTAAACCATCATATATCCTTATATAAACCCTAAACCCTGTAGAACCATGATAAACCCCTTCAAGGGGCCTCCTAAGTTCGGGAAGCCTTACTTTGAAAAAGGTCCCTGGACTGACTTCCATCCTGCAGTTCTTCGTGAAGTCCTATGCCAACAAATCGGCAACTCTGCAACAAGTGATGAGGATTGGGGATTAGGATTTGGGGTTTAGGGTTTAGGGTTGAGGGCTTAGGATTTTAGGGTGTATGGCTCAGGGCTTAGGGTTCCAAAGGGTTTTGGGGATCGCCGAGATGGGCAAAACAAGCCCTGGAGTGGGCTGATAGGAATTACATGGGATAAGATTGGGGTTATAGGGGGCTATATTGGGTTAAGGCTAGGACAGTGGAGAACCAGATGGAAAGAACATTAAAAATGAAAGGGAAACTCGGATTGCACAGGGGGCTGATGCTCGGTTGCCAAAATTATGTCCTTTTTTGGAGGTACCGTCGTCAAGAGTTGGGGCACCGGAAAAAAACCATACAGTGTTTGCACAACATGGAGACCCCCCTATATAAACCTAAAAGCATGATAGTCCTTGTGGTAGCCCCAGAAAAGGTGCACCTGATTTCGGGAAACCCCAAACACTAATCCCTTTCAATCCCATATATCTTATATCTCTAGATGCCCCTACTAATTCCTATAAAACCCCTATAAACCGCCAGAAAAGGTACCCCTAACTTCAGGAAACCCTATGCCCCCAAAGACCGCTGCGCCAGGTTTCCTTTACTCCATGTACTGGCGCTCTAGTAAGTACCCGCGCTGCTACTGCTGCTGGCGCTCTTACCGCCCATTATTCTTGGAAGTGGACGTGATATAGCAATATAGCAGCAGCAGCAGCAGCAGCAGGCGTCGTAGTAGTAGTAGTAGT